ATAAATATGCTAATTTTTTGGATCTTATGTTTACGCTATTTATTGGATTTAAAAAATATATATATTTTATTGATTTCAGAGAGAGGAAGGGAGAGGGAGAGAGAGAAAGAGAAACATCAATGATGAGAGAGAGTCATTGATCGGCTGCCTCCTGCACGCCCCTGACCAGGGACCGAGCCCGCAACCCGGGCAGGTGCCCTGACCGGGAATCAAACCGCAATCTCCTGGATCCTAGGTCGATGCTCAATCGCTCAAACCGGCTAGGGCCTTCTTTACTCTTAATATTCACTTTCATACCTAATTTTATATTCACAGTTTTGTATTTTTTTTCTTAGAAAGAGGCATCCAAAGAGTCCACTTGCTGTCCAGCTGCCCCGCTCCTGAGGTGGCAATGCCAGCCTGGGGGTTGCTTCCGCCGTTTCCCTGGGGGTGAGGGGGTGTGTGCGGGACCCTCTGGGGTCACGTGTCTATCCATCTCGTTGAGAGTCACAGGGAGGGTGTGCTTTGGGCTCAGTGCCAAGGAGCTTCATTCAACCCAAGGCCAGGTGGATGCTCAGGAGTTAGGAGTCCCTGCTGTGTGACTTCCTGCAAGAGCCACAGTGCAGGGAGTCAGGGGCGAGAGTCACACTGCTGGTCCCCTCTGTGGTTTTCTGGTGGCCAGTCCTTGAGCGTCTGCCTGTGCCTCAGTTTCCCCATCTGTAAAGGCAGCTGATAAGGTGCCGACCCCACAGAGCTGTCGTGAGGATGAAATGAATCAACACCTGGTGCCCGCAAGCCCCGGGAAAGCTTGGTAAATAAATATGGACGTGAGTTAGCCACTCTTACTATCTGCTCTCCAAAGGGACCCGCCCCGTGTGAGCCAGGACAGGGACTTCTCATGTGAAGGTGTGTGTGTGGGGGGATCACGTCATCCCGCCCCCCAGCAATGCCAGTCAGCTTCCTTAGGCCCACACTCCCTCTACAAGTCTCCCCTACACACTGACCTCTGACTCCTGCTTCCCGCTCCCGCCCCTCCCCTCCCCACAGGCCCCTCAGCTTCCCCCTCAGGCTGCTCTTGCACTCACCACTCTGGTTCCTCTGACTTGAGCCCCCAGGGGGCCTCTGATGGTCATTTATGGGATGAATCCAAGTTTCTCTTCTGCATTTCCTGCCCCCACCCCTGTAATCAGACCCAGCCACGCAGCTGGGTTTCCTGACAGGCCTCAGGGAACAGTTTTAGCAGAAAGAGCCGGGAGACCTGGGTTGAATCTTGACCCTGGATAAGCCCTTTCTTTGGGCTTTAGTTTTAGTTTGTGAAACAAGGTGGGGTGGATACTCAGATCCCTCCCGGATCCAGGAGGCAGGAGGCTGAACCTGGACAAGGCAGGAGGCTTGTCTCAGGTTTGGCTACATCACACCCCAAATCCATCACCCCAAACGAGGGTCTGTCCAGGTCCTCGAGTGGAGACTGCAGAGGGAGTTCTGGGTGGGGGCTCAGTCCTGTGCCTGGGAGATGACCGGGAGGGGCAGGGAGGCCTTGAGGCTTCAGGCTGGTCAAGAAGGTCTGGACCTGGCATGGGGTCATCAGTGTGGCTGTGAGCAAGCCCATGAATACCTTGATGTCTCTAAACCTCAGTTTCCTCATCACCCCACCTAGCCTAAAGGCCAGAGGCCGCACGCCTACTGTGCGCTGGGGACTCCACCAGGTGAGCTCCGGTGTCCTGTGGCTCCTCCCGACACCCTCGAGGTGGTGGGCACCACTCTTCTCTCCATAGGAAGGGTTAGGCGGCGAGGTTGTCAGCACCCCCCAGAGCCTACCCACCTCCAGAACCAGCTCCTAACCACCTCTGTCCGAGGGCTCCTTCCTGGCAGTGGCAACCTCTGGGGAAAGGCCAGAAGGAGAGATGAGGCTGGCTGCCCAGGGCCTGCGAGGGGCAGGGGTGGAAGAGACCCAAGGGGTCTGTGGGCCACTCTGAGGAGCTCAGGACTCTGGAGCAGAAAGGAGCCGGTGGGAGGGGTCTCAGCTGGGAAGAGGGGAGCGGTGTGTTGTTACAAGGCCACTGGGTGAATGAGTGGGGAGCTGGGTGCCGGGCTGGAGGAGAGGCCCTCCAGGCTGCATAGTCCTCCTGGCCAGAGACAGTAGGGGCCTGGATCAGGTGGTGGCCAGGGCTTGGGGACACTCAGGGAGTAAGTGCTACAGACGCACTGGCTGTTTGCATGTGGACAGGGATGGTGGTGACAGTAACAGGGTGGCCACAGTCATCCAGCCAGGGGTGAGGTGGGAGGGGAGGCGGCGGCCTGCACATTGGGGGTTCGGGGTCCGTTTGATGGCGGGGTGTCCTGGACTCGAGTGCCTGGCAGTGACGGCTTAAACTCAGGCCGAGACTGGGTGCCTGAGCCTCTGCCTGCTGCAGACGCAGCCCTGAGGGAGGCCAGTACCCACGCCCACGGTGTGTGGTGCAGACAAGGGTGCAGCCTACCAGGTGACATGAAGGACAGCGGATGTGAAAGAGGAACTGGAGCTCAGGGCTCAGAGGTCATGTCTGGTACAGGCAGTGCTGCGGGACCGAGTCAGGAAAAGGGCCGTCTCCAGATGCAGGCCCCTCAGAGCACGGCTGGGCTACTCACTGGGGCTGGACAGCGCCCCCCGCCCCCCTCCCCGCACCCACTGCCTCTGGGGGTGGGGTGCTCAGTCCCCGCAGAACCAGCACAGAGGGAGGGAGGCCTGGCAGTGGGAGCCTGTTTGCAAGATGAGCTTGTGTCGCCGAGAGACCCCTGGCATCTGCTCCCTCACGATCCCTGCCTCCGTCCGTCCGTCTAGCCATCAGTCCGTGCCAGGTACCGGCTGGCGTTCCTGCCTCTGTGTTCTTATGTTAGGTGAGACAAATGGCCTGGGCAAGCAGGCCGATAAGAAGTACAAATAGAGAAAAATGGACAGGAAGGGAAGGGGAGAGAGCACGTGGGCCTCTGTAAACCAGCTACAGGACGTAGCACAAACAACAGTATCTGAGTCTGTGACCACAGAGCAGAGCAGTGCTCAGGGCTGGGGAGGAAGGTCATGACCTCACCTCCCAGAGCAGGCGGCCCACTCAGGGCAGCGCTGGGTCCTTGGTGTCTGACTTGGGGAGGTCACGGTCACCCTGACTCCCAGTGGCCGGCCCAGACCCTGATGCCAGGGTGCCTGAGTCCTCGCCTTGCCCCACTGCCAAGACCACCATGCATCCTGGGAGACTGGCATGCATCTACCCACCTTAGCAACCTCTTTTATAGGCCACGGGTTTTCCGTGGGTGTTGGGAGCAGGGTGTGAGCAGGGAGAGGGCTGTGAACAAATAAAATGAGTGCTGGTGAGCGAAGTGGCTGGAAAACATGCCTAAAACAGGAGCTCGGGGAAATGGAACTTGGCGATGGGGCCCCTGGAGGCCGCAGGGGTAAGTGAGGTGTCCTGAACCTCTGAACATGATGAGACCCCAGCCTCCAGCCCATGACTTGGGGCACTCCACAGGCGGTGCTGCAGGGTTGGTGGGAGGCCAGTTGAGGCCAGGTTTTCAGGCAGAGCAGGTGTTGGTGGAGCTCAGTTTGGGGCCTGTAAAAGCCCTGGGAGCAAGCAGGAGGGGGTGGAGCTACAGCCATGGCATTGAAGGCCCTTCAGGCGGAGGAGGAGCTTGGCTGGCTCTGGCTCTGTCCCCCAGCATCACCCAAGTCCACAGGTGCTCCTCCCTGTCTTGGGATGTCCTGGTCTCTGCTGTCGGGTTCAATCTCACTGGGCAGCCCCTTGTCTCCAAAGCAGCACCTACATCTCTATATCTATTTACCTGCATTCCCAACAGCTCTTCAAGGTGATAAAAAAAATGCTGCATTTTCAAAGCAAATTTGTTCTGCTAACACCCTGTCCGTTCCCTGCTCCTTCCTTTGCTTCCCCAGTTTCCCGGAACTATCACCTGGCTCTTGGATTGTGAAAACACCATGTTGTTTACTACATGAGCACTCATGAAAATTGATTATAAAACACAACAGGGAGGCCCAAGGACAAATGGACCAGGAACACAAACTAAAGACACACACACACACACACATACACTCTCCCAACAAATGCACGCATGCTGGGGGGTAATGAGCCCCCAGAGGGGTTCCTGCCAGCACCTGCCCTGGCCGAGTGAGCTAGCCCTGCCCAGTACAGCACTGAGATACGCATCCTCTCTGAAAAATCTCTAAAAGTTGGGCCTAAAGCTGTGTGTGGAAAGATTAGAAAAGGTTTCCTGGCAAGGCCCGGGGTGGGCGGCTGACCAGGCATTTCCCTGTGAGGAAGTCCAATGATGGGGAAAAGCAGGGCATATTCAGGGTCAAGGGAGTGACCTTGAGCAGGGCCTGGCCCTCCCCTCCCCCAACAAACAGGAACATAACCTGTGCAGCAGCGATTTCCAAGAGATAACTGAGCCCAGCACCAGCCCGGAGCAGGACAACCCAGTGTGAGAATTTCTCATGGACACGGCAGTGGACTGGACTGTCTCCAAAATTTAAATGTGGAAGCCCCAACTCCCAATGGGACTGAACGTGGAGACAGGGCCTTCAGGAAGTCAGGTTAAATAGGGTCGTAAGGGTGGGGCCCAGGTCCTGAAGGACTGGAGTCCGGAATAGAAGAGACCCTGGTGATCTCTGGCTTCCTCCCAGGCGGGGCCCCGTGACACACATCAGAGGTGGCCTTCCACAAGCCGGGCTGGGCCTCTCCACAGACATCCGAAGGTGCCTGACCTGGACTTTGGCCTCCGGGACTGCAGGGTAATGCGTTGCTGCGTGAGGCCCGGTCTGTGGGGTCTCGTGTGACAGCCCTTTGGGCTTGAAAGATGCCACTCTGCACACCTCACTTTCAGCACGGACACCCGGCACATCAGGCCTCAAACATACACTAAAAGCAGGGCGTGGGTAATTACGTCATCATTCAAATGTACGTCAGTGTTGTACCGCGAGCCCTCGCTTACGATAACTCACCTCATAAGCTTTGATAAGAAAAGCTGCAAGGCAGTCTGCTGCAACTGTTTATTTAGAAGTCGAATAACTGGAGCTTGTAAGAAAGAGTCACAAAATATTCAGCTGAAACCACATTTCGGGTTCATCAGATTGAAATATATTTTACTGTTCTGAACAATATATTCCAGTGCTGTCTAAAACACAGCCAAATTATTTTTCTTTATTTATACATATTCTGAAATTGCTTGAAAACAAAGATTAGGATTAAAAATATTAACAAAAGTCCCCAATTACAACTAGTACTTTCCCATGTACTGAGCTCTTTATCATTAGTGTATCTTCTTGCCTTAGTCATTTTTAATTCTGGACACTGGATCAGTCTGTAAATGCACTTAGGGAGTCCTCATGTTTCTCATAAATTCAAACAGCCACACCTTGTCAAAGATCCGTTCCCTTGGCAACAGAGGCTTAGGTTTGGTAAAAGCGCTCACGGAAAATTAGTTTTGAATTTACAGATGATACAAAATAAACAATTTACAAGGGGACAGGTGACTTTAAACATTATTTTGAAATTGCCTTAGTATGTAGAAATGAAGCAATCTGTCAGATCAGACACCACTCATTTTTGGTCTTTTGCTTTTATTATTTGCTCTATTTTTAATGAAACGTGTGCTGTGAATTTTCCATTTCCAGGCCCAGTTGGCATCATCTGGTTCTGGTAGCCCCCAGCCCATGGGTCGTAGGCGCTGAGACAAAGGCTCTCCATCCTGGACGAGGTGGGAGGGGCCTGTGTGTCCAGGCCCCAGCGGTTGGAAATTCCAAGAAAACAAAGCAAGGATATGATGGACATGCCAAAAGGAGGGTGTGCAGGAAGACGCACAAACAGAAATGACATAAGGCTTCTACTATATCAAAAGAAAAGCTGAAAGTAATGTATCTAGGCCACGTGAAAAGCTGGCAAAACAATCTGCAGACTGGCCAGTCTCTGCTGCAGCCTGTCGTGTGGCCACCGGTTCAGTAAAGAGGAATTTCTCCAGGAAGCACATGACATCAGTGTCAAGCGCCATAGCGATCCTACAGAGAGAACCCAAATGAAAGTTACGAACACTCGGTATTGGTTCCTCATTCCCACCCGACACTGCACCACCGCCTGGCATCTGCCACGCATGCTGCACCAGAGGACACTATGCAGGCGCAGCTGGGGAGCAACGAGTCTGGGAGGGCAGGCGGGGCAGTGGGGCGAGCCCTCTGGGAGGCAGGCATGATGGGGGACAGAGGACCACATCTGGAGTGGAACCCTGAAATCCTGGTTCAGCCGAGTGCGGCAACTCAGCCTCTCTGTGCCTGACCTCTTCACCTACACGACTGGTGTGAGCTACAAAGTGGGGACGATCACCTAGGAATCAGGGATGCCACCTACTTGGAAGCACTATTGGGCTCAGCTGATCTAAGGGACTTGAGGAGCTCTGCATCCTAACCAAACATTGGTACCAACAGCAGGAGCCTCAAGGAACTCTCCAGAGCGGGGACAGCCCCCCAACCTGGGACCCTGCAGCACCAGAGCCCCTGATTGGGTCCTACTCCCTTGTGGCCATGTTTTGCATTCATGACAGAAGCCTCTACAATAACCTGACATGAACAAGAGGGCTCACGAGGTAACTTTCGTCATCGGAGGAGCTTTAGGTTGTTCTAAGTATACAAGCTAGTCTATCCTCGCTTATTTAAAAGATCAGAACACACTCTAGAGAGTCAACTTGAAGAACAGTTAAATAAGTTACATGTATTTTCATTCAACAGAATGTCGTTTTTGAAGAATTTTTAATTACGCGGAAATGCTCATAAAATATCGTTTAAAAACAGGATAAAAAACTACATATACAGTGTAATCTTTTTTAATTTGGAAAAGATATGTAGAGAATATCTTTTTAAAGGTAAATAGAATGCCATTTTCACTCCTCCTTAACGTTTCTCTGTTCCAGTACAGGAAGAGAGTGGACAGTGATCATGACCATTGCCGTAACAACTCCCCTAGAGTCACCAATTAGAAAACCTAAACAAATATAAAATGATAATTCCTGGTTTTGATGATGTCCTAGGTCACACTGGAGCAAACATATAAATCAACAATATGAAATCTAATTTTCTAGCAATTGAAGAGTGGTCCAAATCTCCTTTTCTGAACTACGAGCCGGCCGTCATACTCAGACACCACCCTCGCAGCCTCACCTGAATCGAAGTCATGACGCCGTTAGCAAAGACAGAGAGCTTCCCCGCCACGGACCTCACCCCCTGCTTCAGCTGGGCCATGTCGGGGGCGGTGGGCAGCACGCTCGAGAGGTTGTAGTTTCCTGCACAGAGCAGATGCAGCTCGTCACTCTGGGCCTGGGTACCCGATGACTGTAGAGATCATGGGTCCCGCCTCTCCTGCTTCCCATGAGCAGCATATGTGGTCAAGGGAAAAGGACCCTGCAGCGGGGTCAGGACTCGGGTCTCAGTACCAGCCCCACTGTCCTGCATTTGCAATCAGCGGCAGGACCCCACAGGAGAGAAGGTGTGGTACTAGGTCTGAAGAACACCATGGGTTCCATACTGGCACTTCCACTTCCAAGCTGTGTGCCCCTGGAGAGGTTCCTTACCCTCTCTGGGACCCTATTTCCTCCAGGTGCTTAACACAACACCTGGTAGGTAAGTACTCAGTAAATAACAGGTGGACATTTGTGGGTTTTGTGTGCTCAGCATCCCTTCCTCCATTATTTGGGAAAGCCCTCCTCCCTTCCGGTGGGGTGGCCCCTCCCCTTGACCCTACCCAAAGGGACGGGCACATGACTCGAGCCTGGCCAATCAGAGCCTTCCCTGGATTACATATAGTCAAGAGAGAGGAGCCGTTTGCTTGCTCTGGGGTTACCGGTGGGGTTAAGGCACCGCTGCAGCCGTGATTCTGGCTGTCCCCCTCCCATTCTCTGCTCAAGGACAAGAGAATGAGGTTCACCCAGGGAAGTGAGCCAAATGTCAGAGCCAAACTCATTGCCAGGCCTCCCAGGCACAGAGGCCGGCCCTGTGACAGCTGGAGCTCCATTGCAGAGGCTGAACCTCTGCTGAGGCCAGTGACAGGTGGGGCTCTGTTGCTAAGTTTTGGTTGCTCGACGTAAACACCAGCACATTGCCACCAACACGCTGAAGAGCACTGGTGTCATCACACAAAGCTGACAACTGGGATTTCATGGTGAACTCTTGTCACACAATTGCAGTCAGATGCTGGAGGGGCTCAGGGACTGTGAGTCCAAACCCCACGGGTCCTCTGGGGAGCCAGGCCTGGCTGCCCCCTTGGCTCTACACTTGACCCATCTGCACCTGCCTGCCCCTTAAGCAACAGAAGCCAGGTCCCTTCCCAAGAACAACACAGGTGGACATGTTTACTCTCCCGCAGACAAGACCCAGGAGAGACACCGTGTTCACCCCCAGCATGTGCCCAGGCCCACCACGTGGGAGGGGCTGTGGGTGCAGGGGTCTTTCCCTCTCCACCTCTAGCAGACTTTTAAAATATTCATAGACCTTTGCCAATGCCAGGGTAGAAGCCCAGCCCAGTGATGGGATCTGGGCTCACATCCCAACACCGTCACTTATCAGCAGTGCTGCCTGCCTATAAAATAAGTCTTTACAGCAGCAGACAAGGAGCCTGCGTGAGCTCCTGAGCAGGAAGGGCCAGAACCATAGCTTCACGTTATGCAGAGAGGTCAGAGGGGCTGCAAAGGAGGGGACCAGAGGTCAGTGGGGTGACTCAGGGACACCTCCACTTACAAGTTTCCCACCTGAGAAACGTTTAAAGAGGAGAGCGAAACTGCAGCAGGCCAGAGCCCTTCTGACGTCTGGCCCCACCTCAGAAACTGCCTGGGGCCTGGGCCGGTGACCCTTCACTGACTACATTCAGTCCCCAGATGCCCTCAGGTGGCTAACAGTCCCCATCATTCCTCTCCTCCCCTTCTCTGTACACAACTCCCAATTCTAAACCTTGCAGCAAAGTGTCCAAGTGATGGAGTTCTGGTCAGTAGGATGCAGGCAAAAGTGCCTTACAGCCGGGCATGCCCTTTGCCTTCCCCCTTCTTCCTTCCTGCTGGCTGGAATGCAGACGTGATGACTGGACTGGCGCAGCCACACTGCGCGTGAGGTGAGGTAGAGAACAAGGTCATGAACAGGGTGAAAGGGGCCTGGGTCGCCGATGCAGGGGACACAGTGTGCCAGTCGCGAGCTGCCTCCCAGGCTGTATGTGAGAGGAACAAACTGACTGAGCCTTTGCTACTGTGTGTTTTCATTTCTCACTAATCCTCACCTAAGCTCCTGGGGTAAAGTAACTCAGCAACTTCTGGAGCAGGTGACAGGTCCCCAGAAAGGAGGCTCCTTCTACCCAACCCCTGCAGATCTGCTGCTCTGAGTTCCAAATCTGAGAAAACAGACAGCAGACCTCCTGTGTCTAGCAGTCTCCCGCCTCCTCTGGCACCTGGGTGCTGTCTCCTCTGAGGGTGCCCAGGCAGCAGGCTGGAGGGAGACCTCCAGAGGGTGGAGTACCCTCTGTCAGGGGCTGTCACAGAAGAAAGTTGCCTTCAAAAGAGGCCAGGACACTGAAAGTTGGGGATGAGAAACCCAGCCCATGAGCCACCCCCGCCCCTGCTCCACATCCCAGGCAATGCAAGAAACACTGTCAGAGCAACAAGCCCCTCCTGCTGGAGGTCACGGGGAAAGCAAAGGGTGCACCCAGCCTGGAGGCCACCTACAGTGCAGAGGCCCTGGGCCCCGCCTGTCTGCGGTCAGCACCCATCTTGGCTCACCAGGAACTGTGGGTCGGAATGTCTTCTCACTGCAGCACAGTTGCCTGGCGGTGCCCACCGCACCAAGGGCCGCCTAACACCCCCGAACCGCAACACAGAATACCCCAGGCTCTCAGGTCTGTCCTATAGCCTTCTCTCTTGAGGCTGTTTCTCTCTGGACTTAGAAAGTGGTTGCTCTCTGTGGCTGCAGACCAAGTGGCTGCCGTGTTGGTGACACCATGCCCTGCCCAGCTCCTCCAGGGTTGCAAACAAGGGGCGCAGGTGGGACTGGCCCTGACACCTGGCTCTGGAGATCCCCCTCCCCCTGCTACTGGTGAGTAGGTTCTTCAAATGACCTCAGAAGACCCAGCTGCTTAAATGTTAGCTGTAACAGAAGAGGGACACAGGCGCTTCCCCTGCCCCTGTGGCCTGGCTCAGCCCTGGTGGGGCTAGAATATGGCTTTCCTATGGCTCAAGGGCAGAGGGGCAGAGCAGCAGAGTGGAGGGTGGCGCAGCTCTGAACGTCTGGTCCACCAGGGGTGGGTCAGCTCTCAAGCTAAGTCCCTGGGCTCCCAGACATCTCCCCCCTGGAATCTGGACCCTGAGGAGGGATGGGGGAGACGGGAAGTTCCTCTCCACCTGCCTGTGCGCTCTTTCCTGCAGGATGGAGGCTGGTGGAGTAAGTGGTTCCATCTGCCCTGCCTGCCCCTGGGCGGGGAGGGCACACTATGCACAGTACCGCATTTAACCTCAGTACTACCTGTGAGGTGGGCATATCCACCCACTTTACAGAGGAGACTCAGGCTAAACATGATAGGAAATATGCAAGGTCTCACAGTCCTAAGTCCCTGAGTGGTCAGCGTCACATGGGAGCCCAGGGCTCTAAGACTGCAAAGATCAGACACCACACTCACACCACTGGGAACACGTGTCTGTGACAATGGTCCAGGAAGGTGACTTGCCAGGTAACTTGGGGGATGCTGCTTAAATTACACAACTTGGTCCCTAACATGAGAAGCCTGGCATAACTTGCGCTTCACCTGACAGAGGTGATGAGAGCATCAAATGACAGTCGCTAGTAGTCTTGGAAAAGTAATAAATCCTTTCAGGAGAAAACGCATTCATGTGACAGACACAGTGGAGACCAAGTCTCCTTGCAGCCCCGCCTCCCTTACCTGCCGCCTGCGTCCTCTGCTCCTCAAACAGATCGGCCGAACTTATGGAGGAACTTCCCGAAAACCTCTCCAGCCGGGCCCGGGTTTCATACTGGACAAGACCAGGAAAAGGAAACATCATCAGGCTCCAAATATGAGCAATTTTACAAAAAAAAATCACCAAGGAGCTGTCACTTGAATGTGTCCCCCAGGTTCTCCCTCTCCAACAGCTGCTGAATGCCATCACCAAGGCGGGGCCAGTGGCATGACGCTCACAGGCGGCTGGTGGCAGGTCACAAGCAGACAGATCAATAAACAATGCCACGGCCAACGACCAGTGCGAGGGAAACCGGACTGAGGCTAGAGAGCAGCATCTCCGTCGTGGGGCTGCTCTCACCTCCCCCCCTTCCTGAAGGGCCAGGCCAAGAAGCTCTGTCCCAACACCCATTGTGTTATTTTTGCCTGAACTCAAATGTTGTCAACTGTAAAGCAAGGATGATTTTAGGAGTTAGGGGAAGCCTAGTGTTACTCTAAATACCCTTAAAATGCAGTGAAAGTTCTGCTACAAAATAAATCAGCACATTTTAGGGAAGAACTCTCTGGGTAGCCCAAGGAGCCTGGCAATACACCTGTCTCCATGAGCTCTGCGCAGCACACGGCGCTTCAAAATGAGAAGGAAGGCTAACCTCTCCATTTCCACTTGAGCTCTACTGCTTAGCAAGATTCCACAAAGACAAGCAACAACCTGAAAATAAACATACCCACCCTCCAAACAAACCTACACACTGCATTTAACTGTGGTTAAAAATTATCCAGTAAGTTACAGCTGTATCAAAATTGTCTAACGTTTATGCAAATGATATCGAATGGATGGCTATTCAAAATATTGAGAAGGGAGCAAGATAAACCTGAGACACAGTCCCTACCTTCCAGTCCCTCCCTAGCTGGGCAGCAAGGTTTGGTGAGTAGCCAGAAAGACCTGAGTTTGAGCCCTGGCTCCAGCCCTCCAGGCCAGGGCCTCTCGCAGACCGAGTCTATCTCAATCAGCATCCATCACCTGCTCCCCCAACTGCCAGGCCCCTGCTCTGTGGAGCCCACATAGAATCTCTCCACACACTTACATCAGCGTGGGCTTGTCTTCCAAAGTACATATCGGATGAAATGGCTTTGACATTGCCAAACTTCTTCTGGGCCTCATCTGTATTTTCAACTGGCTCATAGTCCGGCTTGCGGCGCGTAGCAGGTCTACAATTAGAAACAGCCAAAAGGAGTGACATCAGCAAGATGGCAGAATAGGAGTTTCCTTCTACCTCCTCCTCCAGAACACTGATCTGACAATCACCTGCAGCCGAGGTTGCCTTTGTGGGGGTCCAGTAGTCCAGCAGACAGGCTCCAGCACACCACTGGGGCAAAATGTCCAGGACTGGGTGCATTAACGAAGGTGAAGGGAAGAGTTCTGCTTTGCTCACATCATCCCTCCACTAAGGCGGCACAGCTCAGTGCCGAGAGAGACCCACCTGGCCCACAACTTCTCCCATGGGGAAAGTGAGAGGGCAGTGAGTGGGTGCCTGGTTCCCCCAGCTGTGTGGCACATGGCCAAGGTCTGGGAGAGGCTGGCAGCACAGCAGCCAGGGCCTGGAACTCATCAAAGGTACATGGGTCCTACTAAGCACTCTGCAGGAGGAGGCCTACTCACCAGCTGCTGGGTGCACTTTATCTGCAGAGCTCCCAACTGGACCATAGGTGCTGTCCAGTGCTCTGTGCAGTTCACCCATGTGACCCTCCCCCGACCAAAGCTGGCACCCTGCACATGCAGGTGGTAGGTGCAAGCCTCTGTAGACAGGCAGTGAGCATGTGCAGAAAGCCAGCCTGATGCTGGCAGATTGGGAGAAAGCACATGAACTTGAGCATCTCAGGGCACCATCCTAGGAAAGCAAATGGGAGGCTCTCAGCACCTAGACTGGCTTTGTGGGGTTGAGAGAAGATATACCATCTTAAGAATTCACCCCAAAAGGGCATAAGAAGTGTGGAGTGGGTGCATCCATAGAAAGGGTCTGAGGAAGCGTTGGAATGCTCAACAGGGCTGACTGTTGAGGGTATTTCTCACCCAAAGCCAGTCAGTAACTAATGCTGGAGGAGGTGACTGCTTCTCAAACGCAAAGACAGCAACACAACACTCTGAGGCACGTGAAAATCAAGGACACACGACACCACAATAACTCTCCAGCGGCTGGCCCCAAAGAGCTGCCTGACAAAGAATTCAAAATACTTGTTTTAAGGAAGCTCAGCAACCTACAAGAACGCAGATAGATAACCCAATGAAATCTGGAACATAATACACTAACAAAATGTTCAACAGAAAGGCAGAAATCATAAAACAGAAACTCTGGTGCTGAAGACTACAATGAAGGAAGTTGAAAACTGCCACAGGGACAGCAGCAGACTTAATCAAGCCGAAGAAAGAACCTGTGAACTCGAAGATAATTCATTTGAAATCATCCAGTCAGAGGAGGAAAAAAAGAACGAGAGTGAAGAAAACTGGCATGAACTACGGGACGTCATCAAGAAAACGACTTAAGCATTATGGGAGACTGAGGAGAAGGGAGGGAGAAAGGGACAGAAATAATGTCCCTTTCTTTAAATAAATTTAAAGAAATAATGGCTACAAACAAATGTCCCCAATCTGCAGAGAGATATGGACATCCAGGTAGATGAAGCTCATAAATCCCCAAATAGATTCAATTCAAAGAGGTCTTCACCAAGACACATTATAATAAAACTGTCAAAAGTCAAAGACAAAGAATTTTCAAAATAGGAAGAGCAAAGAAACTCATTACATACACTGGAACTCTGGGAAGGCTCTCAGCAGGTTTCTCGGCAGAAACCTTGCAGGTAGAAGATAGTGGGATGATATATTCAAAGTGCTGAAAGGAAAAAAACTTGCCAATCATTAGACTTGCCTCACAAAAAATGCTAAAAGGCATTCTTCAAGCTGAAATAAAAGGCTGCTAATTAGTAACATGAACACATATGAAAGTATAAAATACACTGGTAAAGTCAAATTCAGAATACTAATACTATAATGGTGGTGCGTAAATCATTTAACTCTAGTATAAAGGTTAAAAGACTAAAGTGGTAAAAATAGCTACAGCAATAATGACTTGTTAGTGGATACATTGTTAGTGAATACACAACGTAAAAAGATGTAAACTGTGACAGCAAAAACATAAAATGTAGGTAGGGAGAGTAAAAGGGTAGAGTTTTTGTACACAATCTAAGTTAATTTGTTACTAGTTTAAAAAGAGGCTGCTATAACTATGTTTAATGTAAGCCTTATGGAAATCACAATACAAAAACCTACAGTAGATACACAAAAGATAAAGAGAAAGGAATCAAATCACAAAGGAAGAGAGCAAGAAAGGAAGGAAAAAGGGAATTACAAAATAAGTCGAAAACAAGGAGAGGGCAATTGTAATCTTACCTATCAGTAATTACGTTAAATGTAAATGGGTTAAATTCTCCAATCAAAAAATAGAGTGACTGCCCTGGCCTGACTCAGTTGGTTGGAATGTCGTCCTTTGCACCAAAAGGCTGTGGGTTCAATTCCCAGTCAGGGGACATACATAGGTGGGTTTGATCCCTGGTTGGGCATGTACAGGAGGTAACCAATCAATGTTTTTCTCTCTTCCTTCTTCTCTAAAAATCAATAAACACATCCTCAGATGAAGATTTTAAAAAAAGGCAGAGTGACTGAATGAATTAAAAACAAAAACAAAAAACAAGACACAACTATAGGCTGCCTATGAGAGACTCACTTCGGTTTTAAGGACACACACATAGGCTGAAAGTTAAGAGACAGAAAAGGATACTGCATGTAAGTGGAAACCAAAAGAGAGCAGGGATAGCCATATTTATATCAGAAAATAGACTTTAAACCAAAAACTGTAACAAGAGACAAAGGTCATCATATAACGATAAAGGGGTCAATTCATCAAGAGGATGTAACAACTGTAAATATATATGCACCCAACATTGGAGCACTAAATATGTTAAGCAAATATTAACAGATCCAAAGGGAGAAACAGACAATATATATGGCAACAATAATGAACTTTAATACCCCACTTTCAACAATGGACACATCACCCGGACAGAAAATCAATAAGGAAAATTGCACTTGAACTGTGTGTTGGACTAAATGGACCAACAGACACATTCAGGACATTCCATGGAACAGCAGCAGAACATGCATTCTAAAGTGCACAGAGAATATCTTCCAGGATAAATCATGTTAGGTCACAAAACTAATTTAAATCATATGTGAGGTTTTAACAAATTTAAGAAGATTGAAATCATATTAAGTATCTTTTCTAACCACGACAGTATGAAAGTAGAAATCAACAACAGGAGGGAAACTGGAAAATTCACAAATATGTGGAAATTAACACATTCCTGAACAACCACAGGGTCAAAGAAGAAATTTTAAAAATCCTTAAAAAAAATTTTTTTTTTAACTTCTCACCAGAGGACATTTCCCCCCCGCCCATTGCTTTTCAGAGAGAGGGGGGCAGAGGGAGAGAGAGAAAGAAACATTGATGTGAGAGAGACACATCGATTGGTTGCCTCCCGCATATGGGGATCGAGCCTGCAACCGAGGTAAGTGCCCTTGACTGGAATTGAACCTGAGACCCTTCAGTCCACAGGCCGACACGCTAACCACTGAGCAAACTGTCTAGGGCCAAAAAATATCTTGAAACAAATGAAAATGGAAACACAACATATCAAAACTTATGGGATATAGCAAAAGCAGTTCTAAGAGGAAAGTTTATAGCCAATAGGTACATGAAAAGGTGCTTGACATCACTAATCATCTGGGAAGTGCGAATCAAAACCACGGTGAGGCATCACCTGGTGGAGTGGCTCCGTCAAACAGACAGGAGATAAGTGTTGGTAGCATGGGAGAAAAGGGAACCGTTGCACACTCTTGGAGGGAAGATAAATTAGTACAGCCACTATGGAAAACAGTATGAGGTTGCTAAAAAAATAGCAGAAATATCACATGATCTAGTAATCCTGCTTCTGTATATTTAAAGGAGACAAAGTCAGTTATCTTGAAGAGACAGTTGCAATTGCATGTTCACTGAAGCACTACTCACAGAAGCCAAGACAGGAAACAACCTAGGTGTCTATCAGTTGGTGGATGGGTAAAGAAAGTGTGTGCGCACACACACACACACAANATGTTCACTGAAGCACTACTCACAGAAGCCAAGACAGGAAACAACCTAGGTGTCTATCAGTTGGTGGATGGGTAAAGAAAGTGTGTGCGCACACGCACACACGCACACAATGGGATATTAGTTTACCATAAAAAAGGACACCTTGCCATTTGTGACCACATGGATGAATCTGAAGGATGTTAAGTGAAATAAACCAGACAGAAAAGACTAATACCGTATGATCTCATTGGTAAGTGGAATCTAAAACTTTTTTTAAAAAAATCAAACTCTCAGATTCAGAGTAGAATGGTAGGGGAGAGGCTGGAGTGGGGAAATGAGCAGATGTGAATCAAAGGTATACATTTCATTTATAAGATGAGTAAGCTCTGGTATCTAATGTACAGCATGGTGACTATAGTTAAGAGTACTGCAGTGTATTCTTGAAATTTGAGAGTAGATCTTGTGTTCTCAGCACAAAAAACAAAAACAAACAAAACCCCCCAGCAAAACAGGTTAAACTAATTTAAGGTGAGGTAAATGTGTCTCTTATTTATAACATATACACGTGCCATTTTACTTTTTAAAAAGCCAACAACAACAATTCTGTAAAAGGATTTCAGGAAACTTAAAAGCCTGAAAATTCTAGTTAAAAAAAAAAAAATCAATACACATCCAAACCATGTAACACTTGAAGGAATTTTCCATTTACAACAGGCCTGTTACTTCACTCCTCAGTTTCGCAGATCAATCAGTAAACACCGAACACACCATAACGCACATAAAATACAGCTCCACGTCATACAGGACACAGAGTGAGTGGGATGAGCGCACAGGCCAGTCACCCAGCACAATCTCTGGTTACACCTGCTGTCCCAGCATATTGGAAGTGTCACCTTGCACTATCGACGTTCCCTGGTTTGGACAATAAGTTAAACAGTCCTTCATTCAAAATCCCCCAAATCGGAGAGAGGTGAGTGGATAAACACACTCAATAGCAAAGAGGAATGAACACAGCAACATGGATGAGTCTCAAGGCACTAAGGAAAGTCAAACAAACCAGTCTCAACGGGCCGGCAACTGCACAGTTCCATTTATACCACATTCTGGGAAAGTTAGGTAAGAAAACAGACCGGGATACCAACGACATTCTTGAACTGGTAGAACAAAATCATTTACTAGCCCCGGAGACTTTCCTTAGAGACTCCTGGGTTTGCTGTGTACAGTTCCGCTGTTTTGTTCTTCATACCTGCCTGAATCACCTGTGGTTTTCAGAACTGTGTCAGTCTCTTTGACGCACTTCTTTTTCCAGTAGAAATCTGAACTGTCATCCCAACTAGAAAAAGAGCTGCTCCTGAACTCCATCGGCTCATCAAAGTACCTGTGTGAAAGAGCGGAATAGTGACTTTGGAGGAACTTACTGATGTCCACATCGGGCATGTGGGGACTGCGCTTCCGGGATCCCCCGAAGTTGGGGGCAGCCAGGTGATCTGACCAATGAAACAGGAGTAGACACAACGTGAGTCATTTCCAAGGACTTTACAGTGATCAACTCGCCCAGTCTCCTCTTCCCTTGCTGGATGGAAGAGGTCGTGTTTTCCATGTGCTGCATCCTCAGGCAGGTAAAACCTCTATTCATCTGGATCAAGGTGCCACCTGAAGGACAGGTAATCTGGACAATCACCTGTACCCTCTGCTGACGACAGTGAACAAGAATAAACCATGGTTGTGTTAAGATCTGGGGGAACGTGTTAAGATCTAGCCTATCCGGACAGCACATGCCATCTTCAAGTGTTACCCACTATAGGTTACATATTTCACTTTTGTTGGGTCTAGTTCTGCCAAGTCAGGTAGCCACAAGTAACGTTGCTGGGCCTGGAGAACTGATCGCATCTGAGGAGCTCCTTGTCAGCAATCCCAGCCACGTCAGCCACAGTATAAGGCTTCAGTCCTACAAATAACTACCATTTAATAGAAATGAAACTATAATTAGCCTCCTTTTGGAGTCAGATACAAAGCTACAGATTGTTAAATTTGATGGGAATACTGATGTTCCTCCAGTCTGAAGTTTGCATGAACTTGATCTGTAAGCACCTCAGAGGAGATACTGACCACCTGGGCTCATTCACACTTTCCTTAGCTGAGCATCACCAAGCAGGGCACTGCCGAGACCAAACTCAACAGCAGCTCAGCTTTCAGTCCTGTGTGGCGAGAGGAAAATCTCTGACCAGGAGCAGCAGAGTTTGCTGGAACAGGACAGAGATTGATAGGTGAGGTGGGTGTGTCAGAGCCTTAATAAAAGTGACCGTGCCACCTCAAAGTTATGACAGTTTAGGATGGAAAAGCCCAGCCAGGTACACACTCCTTAGGAAGCTGGGATCAAGAGGTTCAAGAGAGAGAGGCAGACTCCAAGGCTCAAGTCTTAGGAAAGGAAGGGGGATGGAAGAGAGTGCAGCGTCTTCCACAATGTCGGCCAGGCTTTCTGCAGGGAGTAAGAACAGGGTGAGGACAGGAGGTGAGCGCCAGGCTCCGATGTCACAGGGAGTCATTCAAAGACAGACAGCCTGGGAGCGAGAGGAGCCTGTAATCAGAGATGGATATAAAACAAATAGGCAGGGACCCCAATGAGCTAAGACTTGGGGGGTGGCTAAGAACAAATATACTCTTTCTCCTGGCAGGAAAAAAAAGGAGAAGGGATATATCTGCTGCCTGAAGCAGAGTGTGAATTTCTGCGGGTACCAGGAAGGAAGCAGAATTACCAAACGTGGCTCTGCCTTCTCTGGCAAGAGGGTCTCATTAAGAAAAAATGGGGCCATGCCGGCCTCTCTCCGGCAGAAAATAAGCAGTGTTCAAAGCGCATCCGGACTCCAGCTGGAAGCTGATGGGCTCCCCCTATGTTGTCAGTGGGGGAGCCCTGAGCCATGGGCTCTGCTTGGAGGACAGACAAGCACCCCTACTCAGAGAAGAGAACAAGGCAACGAAGACACATCAGAGAGAGGAGGTTTGAAAGGTGTGGGATGCACGCTGGCCTGGGGAGTTATTTTCAAACGTTTGAGGAGCTTATTTGTAAGGGACCAAGGGAAAGAACTAAGACCAATTCAATAAGGAATTAAAAACACACTTAATAAGCACCTATGAGGGGCTAGCACCCTGTCAGGTGAGGCTCCAGGGCAAGGACACATATCCAGTCCCTGCCCTTGCAGGGCTGGCTGACTGGAGCTCAGAAACCCAAGGAGATGTGTCAGTAGGAGTGCACTGGCGGGAGGGAGGGGCTGCGCGGCCCCCTGGAGGTGCTGGATTGGGGGGGCACTGGGAAGGGTGTGGTTGGAACTTCCAGGCTCTTCACAACTCTGAGGTATTGGACTTAGGATTTTGCAGATTTAATATCACTGTAAGGAAATATTCACTCACATAAACCAAAGTGCTGGAACATAGGGGCATCAGATTTTTAAAAAATGACTGAATTATTCAAAAGCAGAAGAGAGAGAGCCACTGTGCTGGGATCTACCGATTAGCAAGAGCTGCTGTGTAGCTGGGGGGCGGGGGTTCTTCCTGCATCCCCCATGGGAGGCTCTTTGGTCTCACAGTGCAGGAGGCACAAAGTGACTCACTGGGGGACAGACAGACAGACACCTGGCCAGATTCCAGCTGCCCCTGGAAGGATGGGCGGTGGGACAATGGAAGGCCAGGGCGCACTTGCTTTTCCTCAGAAACACGACAGCCTCCATAGCTCATCTCCACATCGTTAGCGTGTAATGTTTTGATTTCTAGATCCTAGTTCTCAATGCTTTTTACTGTGATTTTGCCCTGCCGCTCTGTGTTTCTCAACCCTGAGAATATCCCTTAAAATCCTCAATAAGAGCACCCTGGTATCATATCTGAGTATAGCTGTAGACACTGTCCGTCCCCCTGAAGGTCACACTGACATTCTAAGCTGAGCAAATTGTTCTAGTCTCATCCTTCTGTGCTCAGTATATAATTACACTGCCCATGCACTGGAAATAATGGAACTCAATAAAAAACAAAAACCAAGGATATGGCTAATCTTATTTTTAATAGAAACAGCACTCTTTCATAATTCATACTTGAGTTCTAATGGGCTAATGAATAATTTGGAGGCAGTGAGAGCTCTCCATGGAACTAATATGCTTGCTTTCCGAAAGTCCACGTGCTGCGGCCCCAATGGCCAAGTGCTGCAGGGCCCTCGCTCTCATGGGGCTACCACTCAGGACCAGGGAAGGCGGGGAAGAGCCTCCTGATAAACAACGCTCGGAGGCCTGTCTGGCAGGAATCCAGCAAGTGTGGTCTGTATAAAAACACCATCTGCTCCCAGGTTTCAAACCAAAAATAATTGTGTCATAGCAACGAAGGCCTTCAGGGTTGCCGCTCTGACCGAGCTTTGGAGAAGGAGCCTCCAGATCCCCGAAGCTCCGACAGGCAGGTGAAGCCGCGGAGCCTGGCAGAGGCCTGCAGCAGGAGATGCTCTCCAGAAGTTTCTCAGGGCCACTTCCCTTTCCCTCTCGGCTACCAGGCAGTGGTACTGATTTAACCTTCAACTGACTTCCTTTACTCTCCTAAGCTGTCATCTGTAGGAGCGGCTAGCAAGCAGGGAAATAATCCAAAGGTGCAGGGAAGGCTGAGAGGCGTGTGTAGAACCATATCCCCAGGACACACTCCCTCCTTCATTAAACCTGCGCAGCTGATGTGATCTGACCTGCATGAAGCTTCCAAACCAAGTTACACATTCCCTTTTCCCTGTAGGAGACGCATTTAAGTACTTCTCAGAGGCATGATTTGGGTGTTACCTTCAAGGAAACTGAAGCCTGTGTGCCATACAGGTTACTTACAAGAGGCAAATAGGAGACCATTTGGGGCTTTGAAGTACTAACAGGGGACACCACTGAACTAGCCTTTTTTTTTGGTAAAATATCTGGACTTGAAACAATGTGAAGCTATGCTGAGAGAATTTTTAAGGATGGTACTCTCCAGGAACTCCAAGAGGGAATAATGAACTATGACAAGTGTTACATGTATGGAAATGCTTCCAGCTGGCATGACTGCTAGACGACTCTCCTGCCTTTCGAGACGAGATGGCAGCTGCGGGAACCTCCTCGCAAGCACCGCCCGCTAACAACGGGTACACATTCGGTTTCCCCAAACTGCTAGCTTAAGGGTGGCTCTCAATGAGGTTTATTTAAGCGTCTAACAATAATAATTAAATGTTTAGACTGAGTCACACTCACATGTCTCTTGAATTGAGTTTCTATATAATAACAGCAGGTAAAATAACATTAATAATAGACAAGCATCATTCCACACGGTCTATTTGGATTAACTCATTTCACCCTCACACTGCCCTGTGAGGCAGAGACTGCTAGCATCCCTAACTTCAGATGAGGAAAAGCAGCACAGAGGCTAAATATCTTGGCCAAGGTCATACCATCATTAAGTGGCAGAGTATGGATTCAAACCCAGGCCACCTGGTCCTGGGCCTATATGCTAACCCCCTAGCTTCTCAGCTGATGCTTCCTCCAGTAATACCCCAGGTTCACTTGGTGCCTTTTTAACAGGACTCTCCTTGTGCTGGTCAGGTTGCTGGAGGAACCTCACAAGTGAGACGATTCAAGTTCAGACCCATCCTCCCTGCCCCTGCAGGCTGCTGGAGCCTGAACCAGGGCACTCTCCACAGTCAGCTTCATACCAGTTAGGCAACTCATCTGACCAGATGGTGAGAGAGCAGGGGCAGGGAGAGGCTTTATCCTGGGAGCCCGTAGAGTGCCGCAGTGCTTTTATTAATAAATACACACACACAGACAGAATTTACTCGATGCTCCATCCTGCCGACTAGCGACCCCTGAGCTGGCATCCTGAAACCGAGGGCCAGCTGAAGCGAGCAGCTGGGAAATGGGCCCACTCTGGTAATAAGGCTGCACCTTAACATGAGTCTTCAGGGGCTTGCCCACTTCTCTAGTCTCCCTTTTCAGATGCACACAACTTTCCTACCTTATTGCCAAACGTTTTAATATTAGCAAACATTGCCTATTACAAATGTTTCCCCAACTTTTCTTAAAGGACACCCTTGACTCCAGCCAAAGCTTTTAAAAACAGGGGAGTAAACTGACTGGTATTTGCTCCTAATGCAAATAAACTAAGTTCATGCTAATCACTGCTTTTCACAACACCACTTTAAGGATGATTTTTAACACATTACCTTGAGCTGGAAGTAAAATATGAATCATCGTCATCGCTGTACTTTTTCCTTGGTTTTCCTGAGATTGGTGTTTCTTGTTCAATGGTCTGCATATCTGAAGTGGCTGAATGTGAAATACCACTTGAGGAAATAGAGAATAAAATGGAAAAATTACACTAGTTAGTTCATAAAGACGCTTGTGTTCACCAACGAATGTTTTCATCTATACTCTCAACAAAAAGAAACTGATCAATGAGGTTAAAAACTATTTTTTTTGGAATAAGCATTGGAAAATACCGGACTTCAGTGAGCAAGCACCTGCAACTACCACACAAAATGCAGTCACCTATGCCAGTTCTGTCTGTGGCAGCCGTTGAATGACAAATCAGACCTATTTCCCACTTTCTGAGAATCAACTCTGGAATTTTCATGCTATATCCAACATCAGCGTAAAGTGAAACCACGAACGAAGGGAGGAGCACTGAGAAAGTTCTTGGGGGGGGGGGCACAGACCATGTACCCTCGGAGACAGGACTTGGCCTCACGTACCTTCTGCAGGTCCCAAACCCCATGCCCAGCCTCTCCGACTCCGCCTTTTGCCTTCGGGGCATGTTCATCTTTTCATCTCTCTTCATTTGAATTTCAAGATCCTCATAGGCCAACCGCAAGGACGAAACACTGCCAGGGAACCAAATGCTCCTTAATTTCGCATTATGTCTGTGTTCTTAAGTTAAAATACTGAGCAAAATTAAACATGTCGCTTACACTTCCAGCTCTGTGCTTCTCTCCACAACTAGCAACTATGCAAGCAAGCTGGCATTGCTGCAAAGGCCTTCTGTGAGTATGAGATGTTCAAGAAAACTTAAATGAGTTTATAGCCACTTTTGGTTGCTGCTGAACCAACACTGCTGTCCTAGTTTATATGACCTATTATCACATAATAATTTATACTACCTATCATGTATAACGATGTATACCAAAATTATTTCTATAAAGAATAGTAAAAAGCAGAATTTCTTACTTGGACTGACACTTTATTATAGTTCCACATTACACATCAAAAACATGAGATCAGTCTCATTGCTTTCCTTTGGTTTAAGATAAAATGTATATAACTGACTTTACAAATAGATAAATTAAGAAGGGGTTGCTAACTGCAAAAGATGCTTCAATTTATTTTTATTTTTAAATTATTTTTTAATATATCTTTATTGATTTCAGAGAGAGGAAAAAAGAGGGAGAGAGAGAGATAGAAACATCAACAATGAGAGAGTCACTGATCCACTGCCTCCTGCACGCTCCCGACTGGGGATTGAGCCCGCAACCCGGGCACGTGCCCCGGCCAGGAATCGAGCCCCGATCGTCTGGATCCCAGGTCGACGCTCAACCGCTGAGCCACACCTGGCTGGGCAAGATGCTTCAATTTAAAGTAAGTTTCCCACCGGTTATCTTTATATATCAGGCTCCTGCACTACCGGTCAGTCAGAAACTACGCACCTACTTATCAAACACCTGCTACAAATAATGCACCAAACGGGGCAAAAAGACGTCACTAGCAGTCCTTACTCTCAGGCTTCTAAAAATGCTATAAATACGTAATTTTTCATAAAGAAAACTATGCACATATTAGCAATAACAAGAGTATTTTATCATATTAGTAAGAGAGCAAAAAAACTTCAGAACCCTGAAAAGTGAAAAGTGACATATGTACCATATTGGGATCTCTACACTATCACCCATTTTACAAAGTTGTGCAAAATGTCTGAATTCCTCATAAGCAGGGTACCGCATCAATTCCACACTCACGGGCATGCATTTCTGTGCAGTAACAGGAAGGACAACGGAGTTTCTCAATAAGAAAAAGTAATCTTGCTTTTACTGTTTCCTTCCCGAATGAGTCAGGCAGGGTTTCTTTGTTTTGTTTAAGCTGGCGGTTTGCGCTCTTTACTGTTTATTAGTCCTACAGAACAGGTTGTGGCAATATACCTGTTTTATGACTCAGAAAAAAATACTCTCTCAAGTATATTTGGAAGGAAACAACAGATCTGTTTAAAGTCGTGAATAGATGTAACTGTGGCAACATTCTTCTGGGGAAGATGAATGGATGGGGATGAAGAAGTCCTACTAGAAGTTCTCCTCTGAGGACACGTGCCATGGGGTGGGGTCTGCCCTGCGCTAAGAGCTGGCACTCTCGCACCGGGCTACTGCAACGCGCACGCTCCGCAAGCACTAATGGAATTGAGAAGTGGGACTCGTGCTTCTCAGGACTGTTGGAGCCCTTCCCAGGACCAGCTCCAGGGAGCGCTTGCAAGACACTCAAATCAAGTGTGTGTGGGGGGGACACTCTGCTACTTCTCACGCTTCCTACTGACCGTGCATAGAACAGATGCCTCAGGCTGGGCCGAGAAATGGCCAGCGGGCGAGGATCAGGCTGCTGCGTGGACAGTGCAGTTTCACAGTCTGGTGATACAACAAACAATACTGTTCCTGGCAATGTACTGAACTAACTTCATTTACTTAATAAAGTTAATAACTGCATTAACTCGCAGAAGAATAACATCCTGGTGTACAGGGATAAGGTGTACATCTCATAACTGGCACAGCACTGGTCTGGTGAAACCGAGCAGCGATGGGTCCGAGAGGCAGGACGGTGACTCAGGCACAGTGACGTGGCTGTTCTGAACCGGGCCAAGGGAGTTGTCAAAACCACTGGGTTCCAAATCAAATTCATAAATCCCCCCGCCCTGCTTCTTTGCTTTTATAGTGTACTAAACAGTCCTAATGAAAAATACAGGTAGAAGCTGGTGTTGCTCCCAGTATTAATAACCAGCCTCCACCCACCTGACCTGCAGGGAGGGAGCTGTGGCTTTCTGCACCCCAGGTCCGCTGTTCTCATCAGGCACGGGACTGCACCGCTCTCCGGGAGAACCACGTGTGACCTGCCTGTACAGAGCCCACTTCTAAACACCAAGAGAAGCCATCCAAACCCTCAGATTTAGCCTCCCCCCTTTCCCAGGGTCAAAAACCTAGCTTAGTCACAGAAATTAAAGTGAAGTTGAGACAACTAAGACTTTATGTCTTTTCAAACCACACTGAACCTACACACAGTTTAGTGCTGCCCCCTACGTTCTATGAGTTAGATGACAGGGGAAACAACTCAATTTCAAGCTGTCTACGCTCACCATACGAGTTCCAGTCAGCAAACTTAGCATGAATAGTAAGAAATCAGAATGACTGAGCACATACTGTGTGCCAGGCACTGTTTAATGTACTTTATTTATTTATTTTTAAAATATATCTTTATTGATTCAGAGAAAAGAGGGGAGAGAGAGTTGAAACATCAATGAGAGAGTCATTGACAGTCTGCCCCCCAAGGGGGGACCGAGCCCGCAGCCCAGGCATGTGCCCTGACCAGGAATCGAACCACAATCTCCTGGATCCTAGGTCGATGCTCAACCACTGAGCCATGCTGTTTAATGTACTTTAATGAGCAGTTACTAAGTCACTCCCCTAAACAACCTCATAAAATAAACATAAAATAATGTTTATTTTGTCTCCATCATAAAGTCTACAATTGCTCAAGCTAAATCTGATAAAATATACATGAAAATAAGAGAAATGCCATGTTACTAAAATAAACGCATAAAACAGGACTCTAAGCTGCCTTTCCTTCTGTGCTGCCTTTGTCTTCCTCACGACCGTCCACAATCACTCACGTGTACTCCCCAGGTGCCCATGTTTCTCTTCTGCTTTCAACACAAAGGAAAAGCTCTCAAGCACCTCACGTTTACGTAACGCCGGTCTCCTGACTGGCCTCCTGGTTTCCAGTTTCCTCCCATTCTGTCCGACCTGGACATCACTGCCAAACTCACTTGCCCGGATACGCGCCTGCAGCACGGCCTCCTCTCAGGTAACACGTAAGACCACCGCCCGACTTCGCTGTGCTCCATTCCATCACTCCACTTCTCCAGGCCAAGCCAGGCCCCAGCACACACTTCTTAATTCCTCTTCATTCTCTTAACTCACCCTGAGTGTGACTCAGACCCCCGTGACCCAGGCTCAAAACCTCTGGGGACCACATACCCCACCTTCCATCATGTATCCAGAGGGTGGCCACCAAGTTCAATGGGGCTTTACACTATACTTTTCTCATTGTCGAGATACAATTCACATGCCATAAAATTCACTCCTTTAAAGTATATAATTTAGTGGTGTGATGTTTAGTATAGTCACATGTTGTGCCACCACCACCATTATCTAATTCCAGAACATTTCATCACCTCCGAAACAAACCCCAGGCCCGTCAGCGATAACCCCCTTCTTCCCCCCACCCCTGGCCCAGCCCTGGGCAACCCTGGCCTGCTTCCTGTCTCTACGCATTTGCCTGTTCTAGACATTTCAGACATATGGAATCACACAGTACATGGTCTTTGTGACTGGCGTCTTAGCACAACATTTTCAAGGTTTATCCGTGTTGTAGCATGTGCCAGTTGTTTATTCCTTTTTAAGGCTGAATAATATTCCATTTATGAATACACCATTTTGTTCATCCATTCATCAGCTGATGGACATCTGGGTTGTTTCTACTTTTTGGCTATAGGGATTGATGCTGCTGTGAACACTCATGTACAAGTTTTTGTGTGGACGTATGTTTTAATTTCTCTTAGGAGTGGAACTGCTGGGTCATAACAGTAACTTTATGTTTAACTTTTTACATTGCTGCCAGCAATGCATGAGATTCCAATTCTCTGTATTCTTGCTAACACTTGTGGCTGTCTGTCTTCTCGACTGCAGCCATCCTAGTGAGTGAAGTGGGGTCTCACTGTGCATTTCCCTAATGACTAATGCCGTTGAGCATCTTCCGTGGGTACCTCCTGACACATCTGCTTTTCCCTTCCCATTGACGCCATCCTCTCCTGCTCTCACTTCAGCTGGGACTCTCCACTGCTATCCCTTCTCCACAGTCTCTCTCCCTTCCAGTCTATACAGCATTGCGACACTCATTTTCGTAAAACTAAATTTTGCATTTCCCTCCTCACACACACGTAAAAATAAGTGGCATGAGCAAAGTCACCCTGGGAGTGAATTAATAGTTTCATTCACTAAAACCGTATTACTGTAACTGACAAACTCACATTGATTCTTCTTTAGGTGCCGTCCTGGTTGAGTCTTCCTGCTCCTTCATTTTATCCACAGCTTGGGCTTGTTTTTCAATTTCATTAAAGGACGTATTAGTCAGTTTCTGGGCTCCCAAACTTCCTTTTTTGGCCCCAAGCTAGAAGATATATAAGATAATATTCTACCCAAACTGTTTGACCAGTTTTGTTACAACAGCTAACATTTACGGCGGGCACTGTGACAAGTGGGCACGAATCTTCGCCCCAGCTCATGGATGAGGAGCTGAGGCTCATGCAAGTTAAGTGCCGTGAGCAGGAACACAGAGCCAGTTAGTGATGAAGGTGGGATTCAAACCCTGGCGCCTGCCTCCAGGGCAGGGGCTCTAAAAGGAATCATGTATCCAAAAGCTCAACAGCTGACAACCCTCGAGGCCTTACAAGATGGCACTGCTATGAAATGCAACATCATAGAAACTCCCAGCGAACCTCTGCTGGGTTTTTTTAGAATTTCATCATTGACAGAAGAAATGTTCAACACCCATTCTAGAAAATCTTCACTTGGTATAATGTTTACCTCATTGAGAAAAACATACAGTCTTTAGCCAGGCCATATCTATTATATGTAACATGGCTCAAAATAAACTAAAATAAAATGATGGGTGGTTTTCTCATGTGTGTAAGCCATTTCAGAACTGAGCTACCAGGTATTTTATATATCATACTCACTCCTCTTTTAGCTTGATTTGGTTTCTTTTTTATGATAGAGGACACCTCTGTCAAAAAATAAAAAGTAGAAAGTCAGACCAATAGAAATATATACTTTTTCTATTTTTAGTGTGTTCTTTTAAAAAATTCTAAGACACTGTATATTATTATTTAAGAGACTATAACATTTTCCACGTTAGTTTGTCATCCAGAAGACAAGTACAGAGTGGGACAAAAGTAGGTTTACAGTTGTTTGTATGGAAAATTAATAAACAATAATACAAGAGTAAACTGTGTTTCGCATACTCACAACTGTAGACCTACTTTTGCCTACTCTGTTACGAGTGCATTTTAGAAGAACAGAGCTTTATCAAAGTGGAGTCCTCAGTATCTCCACGTAGCATCCAAATGCAGAAAACATACTTTCTGGACACCACACTGAAAAGAAATGAAGAGCCTGAGATGGCCCACCTGTTGCTTTCTTCAGGAGCCATCTCATGTATATTAGAACATACTCTCCCATCAACCTCCACTCTTCAAAAACTTTCAAAATTCTTTGAAAATATAAAGTCAGCAAGGCATTATGTAAACAACTAAAGCAGTCTGTGATGCTTTTCCACTTTCACTTATATACAGGTTTTATCATATTATTCAAGAAATATAAAGCATCCTATTATTTTAGTAGCAGTACTTGTTAAATTGCACAAAAATATGTAATGCTTTTAGAGAAAGTTTCTAAAAAAATTTTTTTTGGGTAAAATTTAATCACAGACGATATATTCTGTTTTTAGAATGTGTAACTTTTTTCTTACATAGCTGAGAATGTGCTTTAACAGGAAAAGGCAGCATAAAACCACAAAGGACAAATGATTGAAATGTTCAGCCCTAACGTAAGGATGACATCCTTCCATTTCAAGTGGAAACAGATCCACGACGTTTTCCTTCCCACCACTTCTTTAGGTCTGTGTTGCAGTCACATATCCTGCTCCCAGCCTCCTAGAAGTCTATTAACACAGGATGACGAGATTTGGAATATTTCTAACAGTTCAGTTTTCTTTCACTAAAGCAGTTGCTTTCTTTTCTTTCTTTTTTAAAAAAAAGTATTTTTATTGATTTGAGAGAGAGTAAGGGAGAGGGAGAGAGAGAGATAGAAACATCAATGATGAGAGTCATTGATCGGCTGCCTCCTGATCCCCACTGGGGATTGAGCCCGAAACCCGGGCATGTGCCCCAACTGGGAATCTAACTGCAATTTCCTGGTTCATAGGTCGATGCTCAACCTCTGAGCCACGTCGGCCAGGCTAAAGCAGTTGCTTTCCAATTAATGCAGTGTGATATGTACCAATTTCAGATTATACTTCGTTGATTATGAGAAATTAAAGATTAAGTTCACCCACTGTAGAACCAGAGAGGAGAAGATGCTAAGAAGCCTTTAGTAAACAGGAGTGGTGTGGCCACTCTGACCTCTGCTGATGCTGGAACATCAACCAGCCCAATGTAAATTTGCCAATCAAAAGCACCAACAGCCACCTTAGCCAGGCCCATAGGGGGGCTGCATGTCACAGCCTGGAGCCCGCTAACACAGAACAGCATGCTGGCTTAATAAAATCCCACTAAGAGACTATAGATTGACAGTCATGGTGCCATATACTCTATAAATTCTAGGCAGACTGCAAAGACAGACTGAGTTTTTTCTTAATAAACCTCACTCTCTAAATCAGAATATTCTTGTGCACATTACCTACGGGAGCCTTGGTTGGAACATTAAGACCTTCCACACTTGGTCCTTGCTCTGGTCCACCTGCAAGTTAAAAATATTGATATTAACACAGCAAATACACTCATTAAAGTCGCTTTTGAACATGTAATATATTCGACTTGCTAAGCACTACATATCTTGTCCGATTTCGTCAATGATCCCCTTCCTTTTTAGCTCCATGTTCTATTTTATCATTGTAAGACTTCTGATTTAAAAGTGCATTAAGCCCGGCCAGCATGGCTCAGCGGTTGAGCATCGGCCTAGGATCCAGTAGATCTAGGTGGGTGGGATTCCTGGTCAGGGCACATGCCCGGGTTGCGGGCTCCATCGCCAGTTGGGAGCGTGCAGGAGGCAGCTGATCATGACTCTTTCATCATTGATGTTCTCTCTCTCCCCCTCTCCCTTCCTCTCTCTGAAATCAATAAAGACATTAAAAAAAATTAAAAAAAATAAAAGTGTATTAAAATACAAGTGCATTTTTTTTAAAGATGTTTTTTATTTTTTTAGAGAGAGGAAGGGAGAGGGATAGAGAGAGAGAAACATCAGTGAAAGAGAAACGTCATCAATCTGCCTCCTGCACGCCCTCAGGCATGTGCCCTGACCAGGAATCGAACCGTGACCTCCTGGTTCATAGGTCAGTGCTCAACCACTGAGCCACACCAGCCTGGCTGAAATCTTATTTTCTGATTATAAAACAGATACTCATTATAAAAGTTCAGTCACTTCAAAATTATATCGAGTTAAAATTAAAGATCTTCAGTAATTTCATTCTCCAGTTAACAACTGGGTGTATATCTCACAGATATGTTGTGTGTGTGTGTGCGTGTGTTCGTTTCTGTTTTTTACATAAACGAGATCATATTCTGTGTTCAGTAATCTACTCTGCCCCTTCCAATTTGGTCTTATTTCCTAATAGTTTCATAGCATGCCACTGAACCACAGGAACGCAGCCTGTGACAGTTCTAAAGACTACCAGCCCTGGCCCGGCAGCTCAGCTGGTTAGAGCGTCGTCCTCATACACCAAAGTTGTGCGTTTGATCCTGCGTCAGGGCGCATACAAGGGTCAACCAGTGCGTGCAGAAATATGAGGAACAACAAGTCGATGTCTCTCTCTAAAAATCAATCAATTTTTTTTTTTAAAAGGACTACCTTCATTATTTGCTGGGGTGGCTTCCACGTTCCTTGGTGTTAAAGAAGATGGTTCTAGGTGTGCTGAGGTCCATCCTGTGCCACTCACCTGAAGCAAAGTGAGAAAAGTCATCAGCAGGCAAAGCAAGAAAAGTCATAAAAAAATAAATCAAAGCAGGGGAAAAAACCTAATAATTTAAATAGTCACCTTCTTAGTACCTGGATTAGTGGGAAGGAAGGATGCTATTTAAACATGTCTAATCTTAAGTCTCTATTTCAATGCTCAAATTCCTTGTTTTTCCTCCTTTTAAAAAAATAAAATCTATACTATGCAATAATTACAGGTTTACACAGAAGTTGCTAAGATAGTAGAGCTTCTTACTTTGCACCCAGCTTCCTTTAATGTAAAAACACCCATGGTGCATCTGTCAAAACTAAAAATTACATGGTACATTACTAGCTAAACTCCAGACTTTATTTGGAATTCACCAGTTTTTCCTCCAGTGTTTCTTTTCTGTCCCAGGATCCAGTCCAGGACCCCACACTGCCTGTGTTTCTTCTCCTTAGTCTTCCCTGGTCTGTAAGAGTTTCTCAGTCTTCCCTTGTTTTTCATGACCTTGAAACTTTGAAGGGTACTGCTCAGATATTTTGTAGAATGTCCCATAATTTGGGTTTATCTGATGTCCTCTCATGATTAGACTAGATCTGTGGGAAGAAACCCACGGAGGTGAGGTGCCCTTCTCACCGCCTCACGTCAACATGACTGAACGCTGGGGATGCCAACCTTGAGCACTTGGTTCAGGTGGGATCTGCCAGTCTTTTCCCAACAGACTTCAGTTTTCCCCTTTCCATCATCTAGTCTTGGGAAGCTAGTCACCAAGTCTGGCCACTTTCAAGGGGAGGGGCATAAAGCTCTACCTCCTAAAGGTGGAGAACCTATTATACATGATTTGGGATTTTTCTATAAGGAAGATTGTCCCTTCTCCCCATTTATTTATTTGATCATCCATTTAAATCAGTATAGACTAATGGATAATTATTTTATCCTTTGGATTATAATACAAAACTGTCATTACTTATTTTGTTGTTCAAACTGTTCCTACTTTGACCACTGGGAGCTCCTTCACTTTGCTGCCTGAGTCCTTTAGACATGGTCTCATCCAGTTCCTGTGCCCTCTTCCCAGCACCTCCTTACTTTCTAGCTCTATAGGACGCTCCAGGCTCATCTGCCCTGCAGCCCCAGGCCTACAACCTGCCATTTCTCCAGTGGCGGCTCGGGTTCCTTTTAGTGGAGAATGGTATTTAGAAACCAAGATCTGGGTGCTGGGTGTGCTTGCTGTACTGAAGTGTCACTGTCCCCAGGCCCTCTCAGTGGACAGAGCCAGGCAATACATATATGTATGTACTAACCCATGTACACACACATATCTAGAATTAGTTCTCCATTGTGTGTGTACATGTGTACACAGAGACAGTAAAATAAACATGAATTCACACTAACATCTCCAACTTTAACCCACACCCAACTAGTCATTTCTCTCCTTTTTAACCATCATTTCTATTCCTAACATTGCTCAGCTACTAAGCATAGATATTCTGTATCTGGTTCTAAATTAAACAATATCAAAGCTCACAATAAAACAGCTTATCTTTTTTACTGTTCTCTGTTCTCTTTTTTGATAATTATTTCTGGTAACTATGCAAATTATAATAGCAAAAAAATCAAGGTTTAGCAATTGACAAAACATTACAGTTTTTACTTGGAAATTAAAGACTGGGTTGAGCAGCAGTTAAGCAAATGGTGCCCCCTCCCCAGTGGGACTGAGAGGAGGCAGAGAGGCTAACAGAACAGCTGAGGCTCTAGCCAGAGGCCGGTACACATTTCCTTAAAGGACCAGTTAGTAAATATTTTAGGCTTCAGAGGCCTATATTCCCCAATTTAAGCAATTTTGGGAATATCTACAGGACAATGGCTTGGCTATCAGCCCACAATAAATCCCTCGGCTATCAGACCACAAAGATGAACATAATGATACTTCCAGCATTTATTGAAGGCTCGCTCTGTGCTAGGTACTAATTATTTTGATCCGTGTTAATTCATTTCATCCTCACAATAGCCTGGAGATACATCCTATGTATGCAGCCAACCAGGGGTGATGAGATGTAAACCCCTGCTAAAATTTGGGTTAAAAATGCAGCTGTCTTCATTCCTTGTCAGTTCCAGAGCTCTGAACTGAACCGTGGCAGACTACTAGTAATCATTTCTGAGCTTCCCTGGTAGCTGGTAAAGGACATGCAACTAAATTCTAGCCAACAGGACCTGAGCAGAGTGATGGGCACCACCCCCAGATTTTGTCTGTAACAGGATGGGCACTTGTTTTCCGGGGTGTCTGCTCTCTTCCCATTGATGGGAAAGGCCACGAACTAGAACAGCCACTTTGGACACTGAGGTAAAAGCCACACATGAGAACAACAAAATAAATCCCTTGGTCAACCCTGCACAGCTACCTCTGAACTGCTGATGAGAAATAACGTCTATCTCGGTTAACCAACTATATTTCAGGGTTGTCACAGCAGCTTGGCCTGTATCCTAACTGGAACATTTTGAACACACACCCTTCCTGTCATAGTAAGCACACTGCAAAATCACGTAAATCATACTTACCTCGGGAGAAGCATGAGAGGCAAAGAAGTCCTCCTCCTTTTGCGTAGGGGACAAAGGTGGAGTCACACAACTATCCAGCCACAGCTAGAACAAAACATGGAGGACTGTTTAGCCTTTCCCCTGGCTTTGAGGGTTCTATTTCATACTCTCCGCTCCCTTTCTAGAGACCTGTTTGCTCAAGATTGATACTTTCCATTATTGTAAAAACAGTAACAGGCCTGCACAGGGCCCCCGAGCACGCTTCAGGAACAGGTGAATCCAGCAACTGCTCGCAGACCCTGAGGACGCCACAGCCCTTTCTGAACAGGGTAGATCAAGGGCCCCAGACCTCAGTGCAGGTCCCAGCCTACAGTCCAGCCTCCTCGCCTGGGACCCCTTATCTGCAAATCCATGCACTCGCCACAACCTACTTGTAACCTCAAATCAATTCTCGGGCTCGTGGTCCTTCACCGATACGCGCGGAGCAGCAAAGGACCCGATCCGGGTCCCCGACGCGCTCGTTCCCAGCCGAGATGACCCTGCGACACTCCGCCTTTTCCCAGCGCATAGTGTACACAAGTGTCCTGCTCGCGGGCTATTGAGTGCCACGTGTTCACATATTTGAGCTTTGTAGGTGAAATGCTCAAATATGTGGCCCGCGGCACGCGAGGCTCTGATGCGCCGCCAGAGAAAAGTTTTATTCAGGCCCAGGGGCAGCGCTGCTGGCGAGGCGGATGTGCGGTCACAGTGCGCATTCAACGGCGCGTCTCAGCAGACGCGGTAAAACAAGGTCAGGTATCGACCGGCGACGAAAGCCTGGCCGGGGGAGGCGGCTGCCCGCGGACTTGCCCGGGCGGGTCGGCAGCGCTCGTGCGG